TGCTGAACCAGAGGAAAAGTCCTGAGTCAGTTGCCCTTCTTTTTGAGCTACCCTTGTTCATACTTCCATTAGGCTAAATATCCTAAAATTGACTTAATTGCAGTACCTAAAGGCAAGTTTGCAGTATGTGAGAGTGCTTCAGAAAAAAATGAAGTACTCTAATATTAGCAAGGCTGTTGAAAGATGAGTGACACATCAAAGAAATCTGAGCTGGTTTTTCCATTATAATTTAAGGAACTCAAAAGTCCTCCTAAATCAAGTCAGTTCTTTAATATATACTCCAGTCTAAAATTCAATAAAGCACTAGGAAAAGAAATTTAGTGTTCTATTTGTTAGCCAACTTAAACAATTAAACTCTAATTTAGTTAATTTTTTTCTCAAGAGGAAACTTTTTTCAAGGCTCTAAGCAACTGTAGGGATTTGGAATAACTATTATAATGACTGTTATAACCACTGTACCACAATGTTCATCATCACTAGATAGAAAAGACAAAAATAAAACAAAGTATTGTAAGATGTTAGCCTTATTTTATTTTTTCTTGTTTATATAATAGTTTCTAATTACAAAGTGATACAACACATTTAACTAATACAATACAAAGAGAATAAGAAGAAGTTTGAACTCTACTCTGATCTAACCCTCCTGTTTTTCTTCTAAGTAATGAATATAAAACTTACATTTAATTGTATATGTCTTATTCATTGAAAGATTGCCAGGCTTTTGTACTTGATTTCATGCAGATCACAGAGTATCTAGGTTCCATGCTGCTTCACTCTACAATTCAAATACTTTGTTTCTCCATAGTCAAACTTGTATGAATCCAAATAAACAGTAGTGGCATTTTCTGTTAACACTATTTTTTGGAAGAAATAGCAACTTCTGACTACCTAGGAATATATACTTCCAACCTGCACTCTAGAAGAGGTGATTTTATTTTGCTATGCAACATAGGATGCATTCTGCAAAATGGTAGTTTTTAATCTTAGAAACTTCTCAGATTTTCAGGCTAGTCTTCTAGGGTTAATACTGCCTAGAAGGACAGACAGGTAAAAGAAATTTGTGAAGTGGGTCTGCTCGGAGCTGTGCTGAGCTGGAAAGTACATGCCCTTGTGTAGACGAACAGTTACTTTCAGTTCTAGCCAATTGTTGCCACATGACAATGTGGGCCCAGTATGTCAGAGCTTCCATAGCTTCAAGAGAAGCTGGAAACCTGTGGAGTCCTGTAAAAAAAAACCCCACATATACTGATGTTTAAATACAGGTCTAAATTGAACAAAAATATTATGCTGATCAAAAAAAACATATTTCTGGGTCAGATTCTGTCCACTTAGCAGCTCATTTGCAATCTCTGTTTCCCATATATAATCACAACTTTGTTAATTTGACTCAGCACTTAATTCCTAACTCTCAAGTTTCAGCATTGGTCCAATATGTCTAGGATAGTCTCAATTATGTAGATCCACATATTTCCATTTCTGTCAGTTGTTAGCCAATACTGCTCAGTTTTCATGATAAAAAAGTAATTTCCCTATCTACTTTGATTTTGGAGACATATCTTACTCTTCTTTTAAATTTCAACCTAATTTTAAAATTCAGATCAATAATTGGTTGTATAAATATCCCTTTAAAAAACATGATGAGATATAATGATATATCATCAGGCACAGTGCTTAAGATGCTGTCCCTCCAATACAAAGATAAACATTTTCTGAGAGACTGAACTTGCAGTGCTTTTCAAACTTTGTTTCATGGAACCTAATGATTGAACATTCCTTGGAGGCCATATCATGGGGACAAGGTCATTGCTTGTATTTAAAAATAAAGTTTGAGAATAAAAATAAATCAGAGAATCAAAAAATTGTTTTAAGAAAGTGGTCTTATCTTCAGGTCAATGGATCATGCATGCACCACCAGATACATGTTAAATTCTGTATGAATCTGAAGATGGCATTTGCCTATTACTTTTATATTCTCAAAGACACATGCGCACTGACATGATATTTAGAATCAGTAGCAATCTGTGTTTATGATTATATGTGACTAAGATAAAAAGTGGTGATAAGGACAGACAGAGCCATTTTGAAGAAAATCAGTAGAGTTTTGTGACAGATTCAATATAAAAGAAGAAACAGTACCAATCAAGGTTAAATTAGATGTGATAAGGTCAGGAAAGTGTTAATATAGGACAATTATGAGGACTGTAGATGAGCAATGATTTTGGGGGTAATGAAGGAATACTGGTCCAGAGATAATATAAAATGTAATACATTGAATTTTAAATGTAAGACATCCAAATAGAGATTTCCAGTAAGGACTTGGAAATACAGCTATAGGTGAAAGAGTCAGGGTTGGTGAGTACACAGAGTGGCTTGAGCCTTGAGTATCAGTGAGATTGCACAGGCTTCTAGAACAGAACTGTAGTGAAGAGAGACATTGATAGATAGAGTTGGATTGAGATGTTTCCATGATTTCAAGGTTCTCAGGAGGATATGCTTGTTACATGCTTCTTTCAGTCTCCTAGAGGTTTTTTTGTTTGTTTTTTACATTGCAGCACATATTGTAAATACTTCATAAATGTCCTTTGTGTGAGTAAATGAAAAGAACATCAAAAAAAAAAAAGAATCTAGAGTGGGACAAGAAAAGGGTAAGAAAGGAAGTAATAAGGATTTTTTAGCAGGTAGCAAAAGAAGAGGACAAGAATGGAAGGCAAAGGAGAACATTTCAAGACACAGATGGGACCAGCAGTTAGCGTAATGGCTATGTCGCTGGACTCCCATGCAGTCGACCACGGTTCGCGTCCCGGACCCGGTGGCTTAAAACTCACACTGGGCAAGTGTGCATGTGTGCCCAGGATCCTGAGAGGAGAATGGAGGAGAAGGGATTGCGGCGTGGCATGGCCATCCCCCCTGGGGGGGGGGGGTTTTTCGGCTTTCTGTCTATGTCTCTCTCCGTCTGTCTGGCGAGCGCACGTGCCCTATAGCAAAAACCTCTCAAAAAAAAAAAAAAAACCCAAAAAACAAAAAAAAAAACCAACACAGCAAATGGTCCTATAGGTTGAAATGTTTTAGAGAGATCATTCGAGACAAGGCTTAAAACCAGCTAGTGGGCTTGACAATAGGAGAATGCTGTAAAACGTGGTTCATATTCTAAGCTGGTCACTGGAACTAGTCCCTGGGATTTTGAAATACATTCTTTGAGGAGCTGAGAGTCAATCTGTATAAGCCAAGTTTCCAAATCCACAATTTAGCAACATAACTGGTAGTATGGGTCTGATATAAGAGACTAATAGGCAATTAACTGTGCTGAGTTTTGTTACAGATTTTCTCATTGAAAGTGCTTCATGCTGGTAGGGCAGGCTTAATGCACATAAAAAAGAAAAAAAAGTAAAACAAGATATTTCCACTGTGATTCTCTAACTGTTAAAGTCTCCAAACATAGATATATCAAGAATATATTGCTATTCTTAAAGAGTTCAAAATTTCAGTTAACATGTTCTCACACTGAAAACATAGATATAAATAACATTGTTTGGAAAACAGTAGATAGATTTGGTATTTCTGTTTTTTATGTTTCATTACTTTAAATG